AATTTAGTTTTTCAATAAGCATGGGATAATTTTTTCATAAAAGGTACATTTTAACAACTTTTTTTTTAGCATTTCCCGTTTTAATTATTTCGAGTTTCCGTTCCGATTCCATCTCCATAATTTGTGAACTGATGAAATAGGCATTAATAAAAACAAAACAACCTTCAGATTAACATTTTCAGAGAAATGTTATTAAGAGATAAAATTTCATATTTGGGTTTATTTTGTCGGACTGCGTAAACTTGGCCCAAAACAAACTTTGCCACGGGTTTTGGGCCTTAATTCGTTTGTTTAATTTGCTTTTTCGTGCTCGCAGTTCAGCGAGGTGAAACGGTTAAATGTTTTTAAAACTGCCCCAGTGTTTTCCTTTCGCCATGTGTATATGGCTTTGCGTGTGTTCATTGTTATTTCGGTTTGCCGCCCCAACGGTGTGTGCGCATTATGCTAACTAGACCCTAATGTCGGTGCCCGGGTGTTTTGAGTGCTCCACATTAGTGTATCGTAAAATATGCTCCATAAAGGGCCATTCGATATGTTTTCAGCCAGGGCTGCAGTGCAGTTCCACGTAGTACGAGTTCATTGCACTAAATCACACAATCATAGAGCAACGACTTTGTGCCGGGACCCTAGTGGGTAAACAAAAAAAAACGAGCCAAAAAACCAACCATAGCAAATGGAAAATGTCAGCAAATTATGAATAATGTAGTGAAAAATACAGGAACGACAGAAAAACGTGATCAGAAAATGACACAAAAAGCAGTGCATAAATTATATGTATTATCGGCCAGGCGAAGCGACATTTAAAAGCTTTTGCTTCGCCCACAGATCATCTGAATCTGAATCATCGGTGGAAATACGTATTTCTTCGTTGACAAATTGATATTTGTTTATGCGAGCTGCTTTTCATTGGGAAACTGATACTTCTGTTTGTCCGTAACTGAAACTAACCGCCCGTTGTCATTGGTTATTTATTTCTTAGCATTTTTACACTAAAAACAACATTTTCCAATTTGCTTTTTTATTATGTTAGTTAATAATTATTAACTAGAGGTTTTTTGACTATTCATTGACATTTCGAATAGTTAAAATGAAAAAATTATTTTAAATATTTAAACTATGTCGATAGTAAAACATTCTGGAAATAACGATTTATGTATGCTTCAATATTTTATCTCATCAAGTTAATCATAAATATTATCTTCAAATAAATAGTTATTTATTTAAATATGTAAAGCGTATGTTGTATATTTTCTGTGTATCGTTTTCTTTCATTTCATATGGAATCTCAATTTTCTGCTTGTCTTCATGGTTTGCTCACAAAATGTTGACATTTCGAATTAAGTTTCACCGTTAGCAAAAGATCAGACGGTGTTCACTGGATTTTCGCACTCGGCCGAAAAAATTGACCTAGTCAACGAAATGCGAGATCGCCGATCTCTTCTTTTTCTCTTTTAAAGAGTAAAACTTGTTTGATAACTTTTGAAAAGCTTTGGGAGAGCTTTTAAACACTCTTAACAAAGAGAGACGTCTCTTAAAAAGGTTCAACTACTTTTTTTCTCTTTTTAGATAATTTGTTTTTGGCATTGACTACTTGGTGGTTATGTTGATACTTTAAACATTGGAAAAAAATTTTTCCCAACCTTTGGGTTCCCAAGGTTTCCCAACAATTCAAATCTAGAGTTTCGGGAATGATAGTTGAACCTAGACATGCAAAAAGTAGAAAAAAAAGCAAATGTTGGCTAAGTACAATCGCCAATGAATTAATGTATTTAAATCAAAGTTCAGCCTAAGTTAAGGGTTGTCGCTCACCTTTCTCCTTATTTTATTCAACGATTTGCTAAGAATATTAAGTAGGTACTTGGGTGTATACAAACTTGCGCAAACAAACAACAATGTGGGTGTTCGAATACTGATTAAAAACAAGTGCAATATAGATTGCTGCAGCAAAAAAAAAATTAATTTCTTTAAAAGAAACCCAATAAATAACAATAATATTTGTTTCATTAGCAAACTTAATAAGTTTCATGATTTATTCTTTAACCAAATTCAATCAAATCTGTCTGTTTTGAAAAGCTTATTATTTGGCTATTTTAAATGATCTGAAAAATGCCAAACAGTTGAAACTTATATGGTTTAAATATAAGGCCTAAGAACACAGTTTAAGGATTTCGGTATAGAAATTAAACTAGGAATTAAACGGATTATATTTATATTTTTCAGACTTAATTATTAAAGCTTTCCTTTTTTTTTTTGGTTGAATTTTAATTAAATGTATATAGTATTTAATTGTTTATATGGCTTCTGTGTTATATAGTTTTCGTATACACAAACTACTGGAAAGTTTTCGAGAACATTATGCTATTTTTCACTGTATAAAAACTTGGCGACCCAATTTAAAATCACTATCCAATTCGCCACGCGCGTGTCAATCGTGCAATGGTGTGCGTATCTATTTGGGCACGTATTTTGTATTTATATGACTTTGTTTTTCTGTAATAAAAACGAGTCGTTAATTAAACACAGCGATTATTAACAGAGTTCATAGCACAACAACTTCAAAAACTTACTAATAGTTTGCTTGAAAGTTTAAGTACTTGTGCTTTTGGTATATTCCCACCCCCTACGTATATCTATTCTCGATCCGTTGGGGTAAACAATCGCGCATTTTGTTGTTTACACATTGCACTCCCAAGCTCTGGCTGTTGTTATTTTTAAGTGCACAATTTCTGTAATTTGACAATAGCCATGTGCAATTGTTGTTGCCGCCAGTTGTTGTTTACAGCAAATTAAAGCTCTTTTACATATCCATCCCACAATAATCTACATTCTGAACGTCGAGCCCACCGATTGCGACCAATGGCAGCCAAGTAAACAAGCTGGTGGGCTAAGCAAAACAACACCATCAGCCGGCAACGCGGAAGCGAATTTGTTTACGTCTTATCCAAGCAGCAATTAGAGATCGGAAAAACAGCTTAGGGAGCTCATATCACCGCAGTTATGACTCCACGTCTCTGACTACCCACGTTTAATATTTTTTTCTTTTTTAGCGTGAAAATGCCTAGCAAATAAATAAAATCTAGCTAAAAGTATAGCAATAATATTATGATGCCTTTTAGTGGTTTTTAAAAAATATGTATTAAAAATATTTTTAAAAGTCAAAGTCAAATTATTTTTAATTCCCTAAATGCTAGAGAATTTTTTTGAATTTTATGTTTGAATGTGTGAATATGTAACTTTTAGCATCAACAGCAAAGTTTTAAAAAAGAATTTACGGTCTGCCACAAAAAGTTAAAGTTTTAGATCTTCGGGTTTTGAAATAATGACAAAGCAAAATAAACAAGACTTACACACTTTTTAGAAAAGAGTGCCGCAAATATCTTGTACAGCAAAAAACAGATAAAAAGAGCAAAGCTATTTTGAAACCCATATATCGTTGAAGTCTCTCTAGAGATTACTGTAAAACACCAGATAAAGACTTCAAATCAGAAGATCAAGGTTTAATTAATTTTCTTACACTTTTCCATTTAATAAAAAAAAAACTTAGAAAAAATAAAAATATAAGTGTATAATACATAAGGAAAAGCAATTATAAAACCAGGGTAACGAATCCAACGGTTGTGACACTCTTGAAGTTTTTGTCGCGATTAGTTATTTGAAAAAACGAGTTTGTTGAACGAAAAACACAGCTAAAAAGTCAACACTGCCCCCCAGCTAATGACCCTCGTGTCATAACTTACGATAACATTCGGGCGTATTTTTACGTACACAATATCATTTAGTTGCCACCAACTTATGGCTGAAAGCAGACTTTTTCGGATGGCAAGATCATTGCTCGCACCGGTTTCGGGTTTTTTTTTTGTCGAAGGGGGCCTGCCTTCTCAGCCGGCTTCCGCCTTTGGGGGCACATTAAATTCTATGCTCCACCTCAACTGCGTAGTTCGTTTAGCCGGTGCCATATAGTTCCATCTAGTATCTGCCGATGTATGTCAATCTATGTATATGTATAAACGAGTATTCTTGGTTTGTTAAGGCGTGAGCAACTCACGCGCTCTCAACTATTTCGACCTTGATGGGACTGTCGGCATTATCTATCCACTGGCTATTCTGTTGTTTTGCTTGTTATGACACTCTGAATATATTACATTGTAGAAGCGGCTTGCACATATATACGGGAATGGAGATATGTACTATGAATGAAGGGGCTCGTCTCACGTTGCTTACTCGATTGGGATGTATGTAACTTGTTTTTAGTTAAAGCTGCGAGAACCAGTTTATGTCTGTGCCCTGAATAAAATACGTTGAAAGTGCTTTATCTTGCACCTTTAATTTCGTTTGAAATAATTTTAAAATGGGTGTTTTAAAGAAATAACCATACCAATCAGGTTAAAATACTAAATAATTGTCAATTTTAAATTGATATTTTGTAGATAAGATTAATTCAGTAGACCAGTGAGTTATAATAATTATTATAATAGATTTATCATACTTGCAATATAAATATCTCATATTTATTTAAAAGGTTTTAAAATGAGCAGTGGGGAGTTGTATTATTAAAGTCTGAGAAATATTTCTGGAGTCTAACATTAATGACTTATGTTGTAATGCATCTCGAGTTCTATAAGTAATAAGATTTTTGTCAGTGTTTGATCCATACTCTCTTGATTGATCAAGACGAATTGAAGAATTTAAGTTCATTGGGTTATGGGCTTAAGTGATTTATGCCAGCAAAGAAATCAAAGGAAGCGTGTGGCAAACATTTTCTATTGTTTATTTTATTTATTAGACATCTCAGCTTTAGTTGTTCAAAATTTAAGTAAGTAAATGCAAAATCCCAGACATAATAACAAAATCAAGCGTCATTTCTCTTAAGTACGTACAATTAACAAAGAAGTAAGTAGGTTCATGAACTACAGCTTTTCTTCAGCGGAAGTGCATTGGAGATAGGAAGGGAAACTAACTGCCATCAAGTGGCCAACTTCGGCCAGTGGTTCAGTTCACATTGACGGACTGCTCGGGACGGACGTTGACAGAGAGTGGAAACTTTGCGATAAACCCTCGGTTACACCCGTATCTTTTGCCGAGGCTCTTATCTTGTGAAGTTGTCTTATCGGGCATATGCGTTGAATCTTATCGCTAGCACCAAAAAGTCGGGGAAAAAGTAGTGAAAAGCAGTCGCCTCAGTGTGACAAAAATTGGTTGGAATTCAATGTGTTTCTCCGCAGCTCGTCCATGCTATGCTGCTTTAGTAGGGTAATAATTAATCAATTGATTACGATGTTTAGTAAATAATAATTAGTGAGAGTGCTTATGTGTTTTAAGACCCAAGTTAAGAACTATTTGAAAAGTTTAAGAGCTTCGACACGTGTCTAACCTCAAATAGTAAAAGAAATTCGATGAGTTGACTTGAAATTAAAACAAAGACCGGTGATAAGGTGTAATCGAAGAGTACGAGATCGTACTGACTCTAATCCTAATCTGGCCAGATCGATTTCTGATTCATAGCTCCAAATAATTGGCCTTGGTATTTGCACTTTCCGTTTGCAATTTACGACCGATTCGAACCGACAAACCGATTAGATAAACCTGTACGCGTAGCCTGGTTGTGGGCTGTACTTTACAGTGTTAACTTACACACACTCACACACATCCCTCCCCCCAATTAATCGCCACTAACTCACCCACCTATGACTAAGTCCCAGTCGAAACGACTGCCACAAAACTTACTAAAACGCAACGCCTAACAACGAGTGTAATCGCCTAATTGCAAGAGCATCCCCATTTCTTCTACGCACACAGATCGGGATCAAGAGCAAGGTAACAGGCAACGGACGATCGCAGCACTACATGTTCCACAACTAGAGGGAGTTTTCCGACCCAAGGATTAATTAAGGACACCATCCCATTCCATTATGCCGCTGTTCACGAGAAAATCACCCAAGCAGGGACCCACTGTGGACGGGGGCTCACAGTTTGGTAGTCGATCCTCCATGAATTCGGGATCCTCACAGGGCAGCCACATCAGCAATAACAATAACAACAACGGCACTCCGGAGAAGTCAAAGCCACCACTGGTTTTCCACTGCCAACTGGCCCACGGCAGTCCCACAGGCCTCATCCACGACTTTTCCAGCGTTCGAGAGCTATATCAGAAGATCGCCGAGTGCTTCGATATATCCGAGAAGGACATCCTCTTCTGCACCCTCAACTCGCACAAGGTGGACATGACGCGTCTGCTGGGCGGTCAGATCGGCCTGGACGACTTCATCTTTGCCCACCGCAAGGGTCGGCCCAAGGAGATCGAGATTGTAAAGTCGCAGGATGCCCTGGGCCTGACGATCACGGACAATGGAGCCGGCTATGCCTTTATCAAGCGGATCAAAGAGGACTCGATCATCGATCGCATAGAGCACATCTGCGTGGGCGATCACATCGAGAAGCTGAATGGTCAGAACATGGTGGGCAAGCGGCACTACGAGGTGGCGCGCATGCTCAAGGACATAGCCACCGGCGAGACGTTCACCCTGCGCCTGGTGGAGCCGGTGAAGAGCGGCTTTCAGGGCATCGGACCGCGCAGCCAGTCGAGGGCGTCGGGCAGCGGATTGGCCGGTGGACGCAACTACGGCAGCGGCAAGGAGACGCTGCGGTTCAAGGCCAATGGAAATGCAGAGATCGAGCCGAAGTTCGATGAGGCGACAGTGGCCGGGATCGAGGCCATCAACAACCTGCTCGAGTCCTTCATGGGCATCAACGACACGGAGCTGGCGTCGCAGATCTGGGATTTGGGCGACCAAAAGTCCAACTCGATGGACTTCGCCGAGGCCATCGACAACTCGGACCTGGAGTCCTTCGGCTTCACGGATGACTTTATCATCGAACTGTGGGGTGCCATAACGGATGCCCGGCGCAAGTCCACGACCAGTCCCAAGTAATTGGGCTTCTGTACCAGAGCTAGAGTTTGCCTGCTTATTGTTGGGGTCCAATAAAACCATTGAAACGAGGTGTTGTTCTTAGTAATTGCTATTATCTATCTGCTATCTGAATATGTTTTGTTTTAGAGCCTAGTTATATTTACCACATATCATGCTACAATCCCATATACAAACATATGTCGTCTGCCTTTGCCAACTATTTAGTTATTTGTACTCTTCACGGTAACCTATTTATTATATACATACATATATATTCGTTCAGATGGACGGGAGGAAATGATGAGGCATTCATACTATATATTTTTGGTACAATTTGTTCGATGTACATACATACGTATAACTATATTTCTTTAGTTTTATCACTTAAACTATGCAAATACATTTAAATTATTTAAATCGTAATTGATTTTGTTTATTTGTTTTCTTTTTGGTTATTATTGTTGTTTGAATTGGTAAGTTTTGTTTATTTGATCAGTACTAAATTTGATTCATAAATACGAACTATAAGTCTTTCGTACACGTCGTTATCTTTTGTTGGCACCCATTGGCATTCAAAAAATATTCCACAGTCCCAAATTGTGACGAATTGTTTGGCTGTTTTTCTCTTAGCGGTTTTATTGTCTTCCCACCATTTGCTTATATTGCCGTCGAGCATATTTTGACCATGGATCATTTGAGGACTCATTAGTATACTCTAGACACTTCCTGTATCAAAAAATTCATCTTGTTATCCCGAAAACATTTCCAGTGACGTAGAAATCGCACCATCGCAAAATGACGCTTTTTCTGGGGTCCCGGACTCGGATCAGATCATATGAGAACACTTACAATTATTTTATTTATTACATGTATGTATGGAGCTTTCGATTGCACATAAACAGCTGCTGTTTGGCGTGCGAGCAGCTGATAAGCACAGTTATTAAGTCTCGCCAAAAGAGAGGGAGAGAGAGACTAAATGGTGGGCAAAACTCAAACACATGCTTATATACAGTTATGATCAAATTTATAGTAGTGTTTCCAAAGTTTAAAAAATAATATTTCTCCATTCTATAATTTAGTTGAAATGAGAATAATTTCAGTCAAGTTTGTCTTTAAACAAATACCTAATGTTCGGCACACTCTTAAAAATTGATCAACTTTTTTGGCTGGCTACCAAACAATTTCCTATTATTCTTACCTCCGCTGTTTAGTACATAGATATGACATGGCAACAAAAGTTACATGACTTTCCGGTTTTACAGGTTTGTGGCGAAGCTTTCGCACTCTCTCTCTCTCTCAGCGTTCTCTCACTCACTCGGGCACCTGCCTAATTCGATTAGCCGCACTGCTCCAACGCTCAGTCTTCAAAAAAGATTCGACGGAGCAACAAGTATACGGAAGAATCCGAACAGTGAATAATCTAAAAGACCGAAGAAACACACAAGAACTCTTTAAAAATATTGTGAAAAAAAACCCTGAAAATAACACGGAAAGCAGAGTGATTCGCCATAGTTTCGCTAGTGTTTTCAAGGGCAACAATTTTATACAGCTGTGCGGCGAATATAGTGCCAGAGGTATAGTGGATTACATACCGAAAACCAATGAATTTTTTGAAAATTTCCATTATACTAGAGATGATCAGTCGAGAACGAACGTACGCCTGCAGACGTATTTCTTGGCAAGATCTTTGGTTAGACTTTGTGCCCGTGTTTGTTTGTTTGTTTGTTCGGTCGCCTCTTTTTATTCGCTCGCATTCCCCGATTCCCTGGACTTTGATCGTGACTCAACACAAAACAGCAAACAGTCGCAGACCCAGACCCATTAAAATGCATATTAAAACTAAACTCAACGCGAAATTGAACCAATCTGCCTCGATTTAATTTTCGATTTGGTGCGGGAACAAAGTTTGCGTGCTATACACTGTCTGGTCAGAGAAAAGTCAAAGTTTAATTTAAACTTGTTAGTTAAAAGATTCCTTATTAATTTTTATATTTTTATTGTCCACTCTCGTAGAAAAAATGACATTTATCTTTTGTCTGAAATCGTCCGAAATATCAATATTTTAGTTGTACATATGTGAAGCGTTATCTCAGAGTTGTTATTTGTGTGGAAACCCGAGTTCCCTTTGTGTCTTTGTCTGGATACATGGTACGTACTTAGCTTCTCTTGAAGTTGGCCCCATTCTGGGGTTTCTTTGTTAGTTACCGCTGTGACTTACCGCAGTTACTCTTGTTACCATCGTCCGATTTCCATGTGTTTCATCGAATGTTGTTTTGCTACCCGCTTCTGCTCCACGATTCACGCTTAACATGGCTCCACAGCTTCGCAGGTGAAAGTGAAGTGGGGCCGCAACGCGTGACAGATGGCGTGATGTCTGCTGTTCGTTTGCTGCGTGCATTTGTAGGACTCCCGATTGAGCACCCTCCTTTACTACACGGAGAGAAAAATATGTGTCTTTTTAGTCTCATTACTAAAATAGTTTGCAATCAATTTTGCTTCTTAAATAATATTCTAATTGAAGTTCTACAAATAATGAACTCTATGTTACATTTCCAAAAATAATATCAAAATGGAAAATGTGTTTTTTTTTCGTATCAAAATTGACCAACAAAACAATTTAAACATAACATCATTACAATAAACAGTCAAACTATCTTAACAAACAAGCGTGATGAATAATCTATTTTTTCAATATAACATTGTATTATTTGTTATCTTTATTATTTCAGCGGATTTTAATTGACAAAAAAAATAAATAATGAACAAGTATTGATTAGATTAATTTGTGCTTAGGGACTATTGATTTCAAGTAAATTAACAAAACAGAACTGTTACAAATAGAAAGAGACAATTTTTTGTTTAATATTTGCACAAATAAACAAATGAAGTTTTACACTTATTAAAAATTTTGAACAGCAAGTATCTAAATATTTGAGAATTTTGTTAGATTTGAAGTTGTTTAATGTATGGCAATTGATAAAATCAAAATTAAATTCAACAAATAATCTATTTGTTTTTGCCTATGCAGATCAATTCACGCTTTATCTACAAATTCTTTCGAATTCCCAGCCAAGGTAAATATAATAATCTCGTCAGATTGTCGGGTATGTGAAGTGCGATATCGTCGACCGTTGGCACGGCTTCCAAAATCCAAAAATCTAGCAATTATTGTTTGTTAAATTCGCTTAATTATTGTGCAATGTTGGACATTGAACTCTATGGCTAGTTATTAACTGACTTGTTCGTGTGTAGTTCAAGTTGTAAAGCCTGCGTTCCACTCGATATCGCGTGATGTCTTTCGGCAGTGCCCATGATTAATTCATACTTACTGAACGCCAATGTGTTTGTATTCTTCGGGTTTATTTATTCTGTGTTTTATCATTTGCGAACAGTAGAACACGCCACTGGCATCGGTAACAGTCTTTGATAAGCAGCGTTCGACTAGGTTTATCGCCCCAATTCATCGGTGACACTCGTAAATAGTTTTTATCCCAGATAAGCATTCGAAAATGCCTTCATCGGGGCCGACAGCCCGTATAATTATATTTACCCTGCCTTTCAACGGTTTATCTTGCCTTGAACTTGTGGTAAATAAACTTAACCGAGCGCAGGGAAAATGAAATGAATTACATTTAAATGGCATCGCACATTTACAACATTGGCCAACATAATAATGCAATTCTTTTAAACATGGCCCAAATGGCTATTCATAAAAACCATAACTTTGTGGCAGGAAATAGGTTTCATATAAAAAGCTATTTTCAAATTATGGTATTAAATTTCATCAAACAAAAATCATTCCTAACGATTATCGTTGGCCCGATCACCAACCCTTTATGCTTTATTTTGTATTGAAAGTTCCTTTTATTTTTCAGTTGGTTGCTATGGTTGTGACCCCAAGTGTTGAATACATTATATGTAGGTAGCTGCTTTGTTTATAATTTTCATTCTGTGGTTGTATTTTCAACGTCACGTCCGCCGACTGGCAACATTTCAACGCAAATGTACCGTGTTGCCGCGGTGACATTGCTGTTGCTGCGGGGATGTTGCCGGCGGTCAGCAACACATTGCTAGTCGGCTTTGTCTCTGCTCTATAGCAACTCACCTTGACTTTGAGCACCCAGAGTAGAGTGACAGAGAGACGAAAAGGTTAAAAATACAATTTAGGTGCATTGTTGGGGCTTCCAAGCACGGGATGTCCTCTCCTCTGATGCAATTTATCTATTTTCTGCAGACGCTCGCCGTTGCCAAGCCGAAATAAACGTCGAGAAAATGATGGCCTATACAAATTACTCACCACCGTTTCCGCTTTGCCCTTTACAGCTGCCGTATCTCAGAGGCGGGTCCAAAGTCGCAGTGCCGATATTCTTCGTCAATAAGCGGCGCATTTGAACGCCTGCCAATAATTATGGCTGCCATATAACCACACACGGCATAGGCAAACACACAAAGTCGGAGCTTTGAGATTAGACAAGCAGTTTTCGGGGAGATCAAGGAGAGAAATCCCCAGCAGTAAGGAAACCCATTTTCCGGGAAGACCAACAACCGAAGCAGATCGAAGATGAACAGCCTGGCGCGCGTCTTCAGCAACTTCCGCGACTTCTACAACGACATAAATGCGGCCACCCTCACGGGAGCCATCGATGTGATCGTGGTGGAGCAGCGGGATGGCGAGTTCCAATGTTCGCCCTTTCACGTTCGCTTTGGCAAGCTGGGAGTGCTAAGGAGTCGGGAGAAGGTGGTAAGTGTAACCATTAGTCCTGTAAAATCAAATCTAGCAGGACAAAGCTTAGATATAATTCTATGAACTATATGGTAATGCAATAATTTGTCTAGTTTCGGAAGAGTTTTTTTTTATTATTAAATCAAAGCAAAAATTGGTGATCTCATTCGTATCTATACTTAAGGGAATTTGCCTAATGTGAAAAAATTAATCGAGGGACTTTGCCTGTTGTAACTAATAAACTTTAAACCTGACGAACTTGGACCTTAGGTATTATATATATCAAGAGTACACGTATCTTGTGAACGAGATATTGCCAGAGTGCTTATCATTCTTATAGATATGCAAGCAATCATATTAAATACA